AAAATCATTCAAGTTGGATTGATTTTTTTTTTTGTTAATCTAAACAATATATTTCTTTCTTTTTATCTTTTTTTTATTATTTTTTTTTCAAATATAACTCATAGAAGGATGCTAACTTGATACTGGACAAGAATATTAACAAGTAACTAAAAAATTCTATTAAAAGTATTCAATTGATGAGCTTTAAAATTTTATACATTCATATAGCAAGAATAAATAAATAAGTATAAACTCAAATAGTAAAAATAAAAATATTGACATTCAAATTAAAAAACTCATGCACACGTGTTGGATATTCTAACATGTTATATATCAACTTAAGGATTTTATTAATATAAAACAAAGGGATCTAATAAGAGCATCTAATTGAAAAAAATAGAAAGTTTGCATGATGAAACAAGAAAAATTAAATTACATATTCTTTTATTGGAAAGTTGCACACCATAGGTGATATCATTTGATTTGATTGATTAATTGTTTAGTAAATTTGATCGTGGTCAACACGAGTATTGATGAAACTTGTCTTAATTTTATTGGGTTGAATCATGAGTGAAAAAATAGGCAAGGAGTTGATTTTTAGATCTCTTTTTCATTCATGTATAATTTATTTTTTCTTCATTCATGTATAATTTATTTTTGTCAATTTACATGTTAGGATCTATTTTATGATTTCTAAGTTTCATTTAAAATGTTTATATTATGATAATGTATTTTATAGATAGAGATTATTAATTCAAGTACTTTGTTATTTTAAGATGTCTATTTATGTGGTATAATTAATTTTTTCTTTATTAATATAACATATGTGATGGTTTTAGTATGTGTTTTTTATTATTGTAACTGTTATGCTTGTAGTTATAGTTTAAAAAAATCAGGTTTAGAAAAAACACTTTTAGTTGTGGTTTTTTTCTAAAAAAAAAATAGGTTTTAAAAATATATATATTTGGTTGAAAAGACCATAAGATGGATTTTTGCATGCAAAATACATGAAAAGTAGGTCTCTGTGAATGAAAAATAGATTATTTAAAATTTTCTTTTTTCCTTGCTTTATTTTTTCTATTACATTGTTAAAAATAAAAATAAAAATAAAAAATAACATGAAATTGATGAAATAATGAAGTCAAAAACATATATAATAATACTTGGAGTAACTAGATGGTTTTAAAAACTATAGGGACTCATAACAATAAGAAGTTATGATTAATTAATTTCTTAATGAACATGGACATGCATCCTAGTTGGAATGAATTAGTTTAGATAGGGCCAAGCATGATCATTTTAATATCTTCCGCTACATATAACTGATAGAGCACAAACAAGTTAAATTAAAGAATCACAAAAGTGGTTGAGTATCAAATAGCATAAGAAAATGGACTTAAAAAAAATGAAGTACAAATTAAGATAATAAAGCACAAGCTTGAGTATCAAATTAAGAAAATGGAGCACATGTTATCTTCCATGGTGAAAACCGTTACTCCACCAATTAAAGAATTCTCTTATTTAACTTAAAGAAGAAACATTGTCAACCTTACAAAAGGATTCCCTAATGATGGTGTATGTTAAAAAAAGAATTAGTTTGTTTGGGCATGACCTAAACAAAGTAAAATAAAAGCCATTTTGTTTGTGGCTTAAATAGATTAAAATAAAAGACCATTTTATTTGGGTCATGACCCAAACAAAGTGAAATGAAAAACACTTCTCCATTTTCACCTATCTATATCACCCTATTTTTAAACTCATGCACATTAAATCATTTTTCCTCACTTTACAAATACATGCATGCAATAGAAGGAAATGGGGCAAGAAATGTTAACAAAGCTCACTTGTCATGAAAAAAGAAGATATTATAAAAAGGAAAAGAAAATATAGAAGAAAGAATTGGTTACTAAATACATATTAAAGATCCATTTTCAACACCACCAACATCATTAAAAAAATCTTGACAATATAATTCTAAAAAATACATTAAAAGATCATCAGAAGTGGCTAAAATAGGTCATTTATGCTATTTAAATGGCCTAAACAACCATTCACCATTTTGTGCCTGTTTGGGCTCTAGACTACTCGCCTTTTATGATAGTTTAGGCCAACATCCAAACACCCATTCACCCTTTCTAGCATTTGCTTTCTCTTTCTTTCTCATCCTTCTCTTTTCTTTCCTCATTAAACATAGACCTATATTTTTATTTATGAGGATTGAGAATATGATATCACATTGCCTATTGTATATGATATTTTTAAACTAACACATTCTTAGATATATTTTATACAAGTACATAATTTTATATAGGATTGACATCACTTTTACTAGTTAATGATGAATAGTGTAAACATACACCACATTCAATGTAAATTAGACATCTTCTTTCTCTTCTAATATTTATTTTCTATCTAACATGATGCGTGTTTGCACTATTCACCATTGGTAAGAAAAGATGACATCAACCCACCTCTCTCTCCTTATAATTTCCACCTTTTTCTCTCACACAATCTCTCTCCTTTTTTCTCTCACCATTATACATACACTTATAATGCTTTAGTCTTCAAGGAGTCAAAACATAATGTCAAGCTATCTATTGCAAATAATATTTTAAAATTAACATATTCTATGATATTTTATATGCAATTACACATTTTTATACTAGGTTGACACCATATTTTTTTGCCAATGGTGGACATTCATAATTGTTTCACATTCCTTAGGTTCTTACTACCCCTCTAACCACCACACATACTGAGATGGTTGCTACTATCAGAGGCAAAGAATTTGTGCTATATCCATCTCTCATGAAAAATAATTCAAACACAAGAAACCTTAACAAGTTTTATTTTTTTCATCATGCTTATTAGCATGACACTATAGAATGTCACATCCTGAAAAATAAGATACAAAGATTGATCACCAGAGATTACCTTTATTAGTTCATGAAAAAAAGAAAAAGAATATGAGAATAAAAGTAAATAAGTTTGGACATTTGATGTTCTATTAGAAATCAAATACTCCTCGAATTAGCTTTAAGAATTGCATCTTTATTTTTTAGTTTTTCAATAAAAGTAGTAATTTTTTTTCATATATTTAATGTCTCCAATAAGAAATCTCCATTAAAATCTTGAAATGTGTCTATCTAAAAGTCTCCATGATGAGATTTTCATATCTCCAAACATGTCACTATGAAAATCTCCATGGCAAGATCTTTATATCTCTAAACATGTCTTCATTAAAATCTCTAGGGTAAGATCTATATGTCACAAAACATATCTCAATTGAATCTTGATACGTGTCTTCAATATCTCTAAAAGGATCAGGGATCCTATTCTAGGTTTCCATGACCATTTGCCTTTACAAGGATTAAGGACTTTTTTACACATTTGCATGATCACTTATCTCTATAAGGATCAAGGATCTTTCTCTACTTTATATGACTGCTAAAAAAAAAACAAACTTCCTCGTGTTATGAACACTTACACATACTATTTTACTTATTTTATACTTATTTCTTATTATTATATTGCTTCTTTTGACAAAGTAAAACAATTAAACTATTCTCTATCTTGCGTAAACATTAAAAAAAAATTACAAGAAGTTTGTCACAATACAAATCAAAAGGCAACATGACATGTACAAAATGAATAAGTTTTCTTCTCTCATTTTTACTAGTTAAAATCTTTCAAACATTTCTATTTAAAAGATATAAGAGGCAAATAATGTTACATGTTAAAAACAAATTAGTTTATTTAAGCTATGACCTAAAGAATTGAAATAAAAAGCACAATCTTCAAGTTATTGTCCAAATAAAGTGAAATGAAAAACACTTTTCCACTTTCACCTCATACATTCCACCCCATTTTCACACCTATGCACATAACTCACTTTATGCACTTCTCCTTACTTTTTTGTATACATGCACACAAGAGATGGAAATGGGGCTAAAAATGTTAATACAAACTAATCTAGTATGAGAAAGGGAGAGAAGAGGGAGAAAAAAAAAAGAAAAAAAGAAAATGTTATCAATGACATATCAAAACTCAAATTTTAATACCTTTAATATCATTAAAAAAATCTCAATAATATAATTTAAAAAACAATTTGGAAGACCACAAGAAGTATCTAGAGTGAGCTCCATGTGTCGTCTAAAGGTAGTAATGCACGCGTACCTACTAGCATGGCTCATGCACTTATACACACATATATGATCATTTGGGATTTAGCCCAAGTGACCACCCACCTTTTGTGTGGCTATTTTGGCCAAAACCCAAAACCTATCTATTTTTTGTGGTTGTTTGATCCAACATCCAAATGACCTCTCACTTTTTTTTAGTAGTTTGAATCTATGCCAAAATAACTACTCACCCTTTCCAATAATATTCCTCTTCTTATTGCTTCAATTTTTTTTCCTCATATATTCTCTTTTCTTTTTTCTTTAACCATTACTCATACATTTAAATTTTTTTATTTCTCGAAGATTCAAAATACAGCGCTGTATCACTTATTATACATAATATTTTTAAAATGATTTTTTATATATATATATTCTTTGCAAAGTATATATTTTCATACATGATTGAAACTATCTTTTATAGTCAATAGTAAATAGTGCAAACACACACTATATTCAATACAAATCCAACACTTTTTATTTTAATAAATAGTTATTTCTAGCTAATGTGTTACTAAGTTTCACTAATGTGTTTCTAAAATTCACTGAATATCTTGTTAATAACATGCCATTCACTAATTTTAATGATAAATACTAATTATTTTATCAATTAATTTTTATATAACTCTTAAGATAAATTACCGTGAACAAAATCTATAACTATTTTAGATAACCAACCAGATAAAATAAGTTTTCATAAATCACATTTTCTACTTAAGCATTCAAGAGATAAAAAGTCAAAATCTGTGTGTATCATCGTGCCATCCGGCATTGATTAGATCCGTTTATTGAATCCACCTCATAAATCACATTTTCTACTTAAGCATTAAAGAGATAAAAAGTCAAAGTCTGTGTGTATCATCATGCCATCCGGCATAGATTAGATCCGTTTATTGAATCCAACAGTTTGGTTATGTTGGGCAGCCGGGGAGCAGGCTAGTCAAATATTTCAATCTAGCAATAGCATAGCCCTGCCTGGTCTTCAACTGAGAAACACTGGCTTCGAGGCTACTGGAAGGAAGATGAATATAAAGTAGAAGAAGAACCCCTTCTTCTTCACAATCCCTTTTCACTTTCCAATGAAGAAGAAGAAGAAACGACAACACCACCTTCAACCTCATCATCCAAACGCACCAGCTCAACGCCTCCTTTGTCTCGACGTTTTTCTTGGCCTTGCCATCGCCATAATCAAGATCAATTTCTTCACAAGTTTTTGTTTCCCTTACAGCCCATGTTTTTAGTTGATTATGGTGGAGGAGCTTTTCCTTGCATCAATCACTCTCCTTGGTTTGACGTGACGCTTGCTGATTTTGTGATGCCCTTTTTTCCTCTTTGTTGTTGGTGTCTTTATCAGTTTAGTTTTTAAGGTAACAAATTCCTCTTCATTATCAGGTTCAACAGGTGCTTCTTTCCTTCCTTTCACGTAGCTCTTCTGCACAATTTAATTTAATAACATTTTCTTGAGGTAAATTATTATTTCAGAGTCATAATTAAACGACAATAAGTTCAAGCCTCTTTAACACAAGGCAGTTGAGGAGATACAAAATCCTAATAGGGCTCAGGCAAAATTTAGACCGAAGGTTCAAAACTCATTTAACAAACTTTTCTGTCTGTGTCAGACTACCATCTTTCTCCATTTTGAAGTCTAGGAAGAAACTGGACTAGAGAAACATTTTCTGTGGTGATTTCTTGTACTATAATCATGATGTTGGATTCAAGAATAACATGATGTTATAAGAATTTTACTTCTTCCATTTTGGCATCTGGAAGGACTTTGTACTTTGAAGCTTGCTCCCATCACCAGGTCCAGTTATTTTAGCTCGAGGATTGAAAAGATGTCTGATAAAAAAGATGACCAACCATATTAAGATGGAGCTTGGCCTGCATCTGATCATATACACCTACCACAGGAAGCACAGGCCTAGGAAAGGGAATGCGAAACTGGCATGAGTAGCCCAGTACGCAAAGGTAGATTCCCAAATGCGTTATATTTGTTAGACTTATTAGAAGGTATACCTGAGAAACCAAAAAATATGCTCAAACGTTTGGTTGCAGGTCTTCACTAAGAGTTTGCTGTGCTCTCCAATTTTGCTTCTCTCGCAAAAGTCAAAAGGAAATACAAGTGACTCCCATTGTGTCAAAGTACATCCCCATTGGATCAAAATTCAAGGGCAGAAAAAAAAAAAAGAGGTTTAGCTTATTGCTCAACCATAAACTGAATGCTGGATAAGATGTTTTATACATATTGGTGGCAAAGTAAATTTAATTAGAAAGATCGTTAATTTAATGATTTTGATGATAAAGTTTATAGTACATCACTTTTAATATTCCGAGTGTTCACTTTTTGTTTTGTTTTGCAGGATGGTCGCTTTCTGGCTGTATGGCCTTTATGATCCAGACTGGGAATTTGAAGTTCCAAGCACACATCTGTTTGGTTACAAATCTGGTACTAAAATTGTGAGTTGAATTGTACGATTTCTACCATTTTATCTAACATGTAAAGATCGAATTATCCATATGTAAAAGTTTGGTTATATCAGCCAAGATGCTGATGTTACTGTTTTCTCTTTTCTCAACCTGCCATGTCACATGAATGATTAGTTTTTATCGTCTCTGGGATTGGACTTTCTTTGGTTCAGCTTTGTTAGTGGGCCATTCTTCACCGGAAGCATGTTTTCTGTTGATTTATCAGCCATTTTCTGCTCAAACAAGGTCCTTTTTCTCCATCGCTGTTTGGTTTTTTTTTCCTTTTTCTTGAATTGTCATATAAAATTCTCTTGCCAAGAGAATCCAGACTACAAGAAAATAGTTTTGAATCTGTTTTTGTGGAATACATAATGGATGTCTTGTTTGATTTCTGGACATAAGTGCGACTGTCTCTGATCTCTTTCTTTTCATTCAGTTTTTGCCCCCAACTAAAACTATGCCCAATGAAACTATCTGAACAGTGTCACAACTTTTTAATATATTGAACTGCAATCAAGTAGCAAAGGTAGCAAGAAAACTGTCAAACAAGACCTGACAGCTAAGCTGGTGCACTCGGTTGACTGCCCATTCTTTATCGTTAAACAACTAGATGACTGTTTAGCATTTTCCTGAACTCCATTTTCAAAAGACGGCAAAATAAAACTTGATTTTCTTTCATCAGAATATACTTATGGTTTCTTAGCTATTACCATTTTTTTTCCAATGGAATTCTTGCTATTGTCAAGCTTTAATTCTATCATTCTCCCTGGTATATGGAACTGACTTAAACCACTGTATCTTGTTTTATAGGTGAATTGTGGAGTGAAGGAAGTCTTGAAAGTTCCTTGTAATGCAGTTGGCCTGATTGATCGATTTTTTCTTTGTGAGCATCATCTATATCCGCACCCTGTGTATAGATGAACAATGGAGATGTTCTGAGGTACTCTCTAACACATAACAATTACATTGTTTTCATAGCAATGTAGTGTTAATTTTCCTGACTATAAACCTCTAGTACCAGATTCACCTAGTTGGTTCCTTTGCTCCATTTGACTCCAAGGGCATCTTGAGGTCAGATAAACTGCAATGCTTTCTCTTGCACCATTTCTTATGAATCACCAGATTATTTTCTCCATTATAATAACATACATTAAAGCCAAGTGCCCATTTCAGATGCTTTCACTGTACAAATGTATAGTGATACAGCTCTTAGCATGTCAGCAAATAGTCAGCTCCTTTATTTATTATTATTTTTTTCCAGTTTTGAAAAACTTCACATGGGTTCCTTGGTTTTTGCCAATTATCATTTAGGTTTCCCAAATTTAATAATTTATCAATGAGGTCCCTTAAGTATCACATATATTTCAATGGAGTCTGGTCATCAACTTTGGTTAATATTTTATATCATTGTATGCGCTCAAACAAAACTGGATTGATGAGAATTTGAGATTTTTAGATGAAAGACCTAATTGAAAAATGTGGTGACACTCAAAAAATGAAACTGATAAATAGATAGATTTAGATGAATTTAAGAATCAGTTACTATGTTACGAAAGAAAATTAAATGCTCTGATGTTTATCAACCACATGGAGGACAAATAGATTATACTAATATATTAAAATATAGAAATATCCATAGCAACTTGAGGGTGTCATTCTAATTGATTGCAAAAAATGAAGGAAAATTTTCTGCTGAAATAGCATTTCATTTACATAATCTTTGGACACCAAAAAAAGAAGAAGAAGCTTTTGTGTCAGTGACAAACTTTAGTGTTGATTTCTTTTCTTAACAATCTTTTCAGTTTCTTGATGGCTTCTATAACATGTTCTCTTTGATTGCAGTTCGGTCGTATACTTGTTCATTTTAAGGTATGACACATCTTGTTCTATAATCTATAGTGCATCTGTGGGTACCTTTTGTTCTTTTACTATGTGCATGGTGCACCAATTTGTGTCAACATTATGGTTTGATGGACTTGGATAACAATATTTATCTTTCTTGTTTGCTGCAGGGCCACATGCAGAGGCTGTATTTGTGGTCGGCATGTTCTTTCACTGTACATTACTGGATATGTGTGAAAACTTCTTGGTAGATTTCCTATTTTAAATATTAATTTAACATCAATGATGTCTACCAGGATTCTCTCCTTTTCCGTTAAGTAATATTTGTGAATATTTCAGGTGTTCCTTTTTATTAACCATTATATATTTTGAGCTATGTGTGCATTAGAGCGGAAGCATCAGGCTTGGCTTTAATGATTATCTTTTACATAGTAAGTTTATCATTCGCTTACTACCTAATAAACAAATAGATAAATAATGAATAAAAAAATTCTAGCGTTGCACCTGGTAGTTCTCTGGTTATTCAGAAAAACTTATGATATTAAATTGATATACCATGCACTTGCTTTCTTGTGTTCAACAAGGAGATCGTATTGACTCATATCACTTGGCCTGAGCTATTCATACAATTTAATTGGGTTAAAATCAGGGAAATTATGATAACACAGAAACAGGCGGTTTCTTCTTGACATGATTATGGACTGAAAGCTTCAGCTTAGTTTTAGTGGTGTTTCGTCTGTTCTGATCTATACCTGCATTCAATACATTGACATGGCTTACTTGTTATCGATTTACCACCAACATGGCTAAATAAGTAGGTCTACAGAGGTTCGAGTCCTTGGTTGCTCATATGATGGCCACTGGAAGTTTACATGGTCGTTAACTTCAGGACCCGTGGGATTAGTCGTGGTGCGCGCAAACTGGCCCGGACACCCACGTTAATCTAAAAAAAAAAAAGAAGTAGGTCTACAGAGCTTGATTTATCTTGTTATAATGTCTGAGCATCTTCTTTACCTAAAATTTCATTGAACTTGGTAAATTAGGTTCCCATTAGAGCTTTGGAATTATCATGGCTTTTGAGGTTGAGGAAGAAATAGTTTTACAAGGATTTAGGAAATCTCCCTGCCATCTATAGGAGATTGGCTAGATCTTAACTTGGATTTATTACTGGCGTGGTTGACAACATTAGAGTTTTTATCTGTTTATATCCATACTCTTGTTAGATACACCGACATGGCTTGCTTCCCATCACATGAAGATGTTGTAACTATACAACTCTCAGTCCCATTGTTTTGTCATCCCCTTTTCTTTTCTTTCCCACTTTTGACACTTCTGGGGCAATCTGTATTGTGTGCAGTGGAGGGATTTTGAAAAGAACAAGAGACTGAAGGAGATTGGCATGAAAGAATCATTTCAATTCAACCATATTTTATGCAGGTTGATGTCTAACATTTTAGAAAGCCCACAATGGTACTTCAGTGGATGGGAATGAATGCACTCATCATTTATGCATTGGCTGCATGTGACCTTTTCACAGCAGCCATTCAAGGTTTCTATTGGGGTTCACCAGAAAACAACTTGGTAAGACTGTTTCCTACTTGGCTGCCAGTCCTGTTCTGAGTTATTCCTTCTCCACCCAATCTCTCCCCAAAATAAATATTTGTTTGTGTAATGGCTGGCGTTCTGCTTATTGGTGCAAGTTTCTGCACTATGTGAACACATGCAGAGGATGATCCACCAACATGTTTAAGACTATTATTATTACACAATCTTTCAACCATTGATTTTCTTCAGTCGAATGGCTGATACAATGTCATACCTCATAGACAATTACCGCCTACAACTAAATATGACATGCAGGTTACTGTTAAAACATACCACTAAATTAGAACATACCACAGTTACTGTTGCTTCTCACTATTTCATTCTTTCCCTTCAGATCTATAGTTTGCTGAACCTATAGTCAATGTTCTGAATGTTTTGGTGCTGACAACTAAATATGACATGCAGGTTGATGGCCCATAATCGCTGTTGCAAGCCATGTTCCATTCAAAGAAGTGGAGCACCTTAGTTTTGTACCAGTGGAGATTTTATTTTGAAAGGCATGTGAGACTGCATGGTATTGTAGATGCTGCTTGTTCCCTGTGAAAGACTAAATTATACATTGTTATTCCTGCAACAGTGTCTTGTTTTGTTCAGTGATATGCCTAGTGATCTTTCGCTCATCCCCCCAAAACCTGTGTAGAGGTGGGATTTGATCCGAACCTCCGGAAGACAACCTTGAGCCGCCTTTGTGTTATATTGGATTAGCTATCGTCCTTCTTTTTCAATGTATCAATCTTTCCTTCATTTTTGTAATCATTTCTACCCTTCTTTAAACGGGGTAAACGATGATCAAAGTCAGGATTAATTTAGTCTTGAGATTATTGGCGTCATCTTTCCACTTTAATTCCTAGTGGCAACATAGAGACGTAAAATTAAAGAAAAGGGAAAAAAAAAAGATCACTGCGTACAAAGGTGTTCCGGATAGGGAAAAAGGCATTGGATTGTTTCAACCTTACTTATTCCTTAGAGCTGGAAAAAAGAGATACAGTAAAATACGAAGACAAGCCCTGTTCGGAGGCTTTCCTGTATTCACAAGGGGCAGCAGAGTATCAACATTAGCCCAAAAGTTGCGCGTCGCAAGTCTCCCCTCCCTCTCTCTCTGTGGGTCGCCAGCCTTGTTAGTTTTGACCGGTGATTAATCATAGCAAATTGCCAAGCGTGTATTGATATTTATGTGACCTCCACCTGCAGGAGGATTTCGAGCTCCTCATCATGAAAAATATTATTGCGAGGTGCCTTGTCTTCGCCAAAAAGGCAAGCGAGAGGCAGCCACAATAATGCCATAATGGTTGATTGTGCAGATCACAGATTAACGGCTTTGTTTCTTCCTTTTCAAGATAAGTATCACTTCTTTGCTAAAAGAGTCTTGCCATGGAGTTTTCTTTCGGCGATAAAAAAACTCTGCCAGCTTCAGATTCCACCAGGCAAAGATCACAAAGTTTTATGCTCACTTCTAATCCTTTCTTTTCTAACTCGTATATAATCACTCGCCTTGTATTCCACACACCTTGTAGAGCTACAGCCTCGCGAAACTCCTTCCCCCTATTCAGGGAAGCGATTAGACGAGAGAGAGAGAGAGAGAGAGAGATGGCAACTGAAAAGGCAGATGTTGAGGTTTCTGACACCAACAACGACAGCATCCAGAATACCTCAACGCAAACCTCAGTTAACAGCGAGACACCGACATCAGCTGTCCCGCGCTTTGGAAAAGCGCTTGCACACAGAGCCCTCTATGGTTCGAGCAGCCGCCATGGTGGAAGTCGAAAGGCTAGATCCAGTGATGTGAAAACATTACCAAGTAGGCTAAGCAAGGTTTCACTAGCTGATGACACAGAAAATAGGGAATGAGTGCTTTACTGTACTGATCTGTGCTAAATTTCTGTGTAATGGGATATTGTAGAATTCGTAACATTCCAAACCAATGTACAACTCTGATGCTTAATAGATATCAGTAGATAAATATTAGTTTCTATTGTTCTCTAATAACCAGCCACATGGTCTAACATCAGTCAAGGAGCCAAGATCACCAAATCCCTCGTAAGGAAAAACTATCTGTGGCCACACTTGCCACTTCTCTTCCCCTCAATGAAAGCAATTCTGAAAACCAGAATCCATCAGTACTCTGTATCAGCAGTATCCATAAATGCAGACAACACTGAAAGACAATATCGGTTCCGTCTCTGCGTTCAAACAGGTTTGCAGCACCAATGGTTGACAGGGCAAGTGCAAGGCAATCGACGTCATCATCCATTCAACACGGAATTCCCTTTTGAGTAAGACGGTGAATTCCCTGATTTGGCTATTGCAAAACATCAGTGTGGTCATATTATCACCACTTCTCACAGGAGTGGAAAAGGGTCAAGCATCCGTGAAATGAATCAAGAAACCATTGTGCATGAAGTTTGAAAATGACAAGTAGAGAAAGCATAACACAAAAGAATCCCATCATTGAATATATGCTGTATTTACTTGATAACCTGGTTTAGAATCACCCAAGGTAGATCATCCACCAGCCAAATCCATAAAAGAAAAAACTACTGAACCAATATCGATCATAAGCAGCTCAGATCAGCGATGCACAATTCAGACCACAAAAAAATATGGGAAACCTGACAAGACCTTATACTGCTAGATTTGCGGTTGTTCAAGCCTTGACAGAAGCCCTGTCACCATACTCTGACCTGTAGGGTAGTTTAACTAGCACATCAAGAAAACAAAAATTCTTCAATAACCTTCCCATCCAATGAGGGAGAAACATAACCAGGTTTTCCAGATTATAAAACCAATCAATTGCAGGGAATGTATCACACGCTGACCATTCCAGCCTCTTTATTGGATAAATGCAACTAGTTTCTTTTTCCCCTCAATTCCAGCTACTTTCAAAGAAAGATCCATGCATGACAAGAACTAGCCTAAGAAAGAAGAAAGAACTAAATCACTGTTGATTTGACCAGCCCAGTTTCTGATGTGATTTATTAAGCTCATTCCAGAGTAGGATGAATACTATTTTACTAGCTCAAATAAACGGAACTATGCTTGGCAACCATAAAAAACCATCAGCAACAACTACTAGAAATGGATTTTTTTTTTAAAAAAAAAAAAAACTATCAATCTAATTGAAACATTTAGTTTGCACCAAATATGGAGTCCAATTTTTTTTTCCCCTCCACAAATGACATCATATGCAACAACAGGTTGGCGTCTAATGCAAAAGAGGTGGTAATTCTCAACTCTATCAGAGATAAGGAATATGATCATTCACCTTGCATTATATGACAATAATAAGCTTCTCGATTTTTCTAATACTTGATAGAATAATTACTAGATCTCTATACAAAAGAAGCGGAACAAAATTTGCAGGAAAAATTATAAACTGCTGGTGTTAATCTGACAGCATAGGGCTGCCTACGACTATTACTTCACGCATCTATCAATCTCCAGAAACTTACCTACAGAAATCCTAGTCCATCTCCATTCAAATCACCACCTTCCATCATTGGACAATCAGTTGCATCATGTCCATACTGTCCACAGCAAGGCACAGAGCAACGCCTACGTTTCCTGAAGATATTAATGCCATCTCTCAGTCTTCTCTCTTTCATCTTTCCCAAAGTTAAAGGTTCATGAGAATTTCCATCAGCAAAACCATGGACAAATCCATCAGAATCTTCAACCTCTGGAAGTATCAAAGAGTCAGATGGACTATTATAGCCAATATCATTACAACCATGTCCTGGCCTAGGAAATTCCTTGATACGAGATAACACCTCAGCAACTTGATCACAAGCAACATCAAGACGTTCTTCGGTCTCTATTGATTCTGTAAGAAGTGTTGAAACCATGGACTGTAATAACTGAGCCTTTTCTGCATGTTCTTCTGAAGTGAAAGTCTGGAAGGGCTTGGTCAAAGAAGCACTGACATCACGCCAACGAACAGGTAGATATCGGTCCGGAATGTGAAAGCAGTTGTTAGTTGATAGAACACGGAGAACATGTCTACAAAGAATTCCTGAAAACTCAAACAAATGGCAGCTGCAGCTAATGAATTCATCATGAGGAATCCAAATAACTTTGCACCCTCCATCCATATCAGTATGGATTCTCACGATGAAATAACTCTCATCCACCATTAGTGATGCATATTGTGGAGCCAACACAAGCTCTTCTTGTAGTTTATTAAAGGCATAAGGTGTTAGAACAGTTGCAGCATGAGATTCAATTGGAGATCCCATTTTAAGGGAGATTTTATGAACCTTTCTTTGTGTCTTTTGTCTTGGTCCTGGTTCCTTGAATTCAACAGCAGCAGCTACCTGAAAACAGAAGGTTAAAATAACAAAATCTGACAACATTAAGCATGAATATAAGAGAAAAGGTTGTACGTCTCCTACCTGCTCCACAAAGTTATCAAGAGACTGAGCATTCAAAACCCGCTGGATATAAGCATTTATGCACTCTGACTGAAAAGTACTGGTCATTCCAGCAAAAAAGTAGCACCTCAAGTATGGCAGTGCCCAAAATGTGCGCAATGCAAATAAACTGATGATGTGCTTATTTCCATGCATTCCATATGCATCAACCATGTTTCTCCATCCAAGTTCAAAATCCTCCACCAACTGCAAACCATAGAGCCGGTGGAATTCAGCCTTCCATTTATCATATTGTGATCCAAGAGGAGCAGAAAACCAATCAGAGAACTTTGCAATGATATGCCATATGCAAAAGGCATGCTTGGTCCCTGGCATTTCAACAGAAATGGCTTCTTTAAGCCACATATTTTGATCAGTTAATATAGTTTCTGGGGCCTTTCCATCCATGAACTCCAAGAATGTCTGTCATAAAAAATTTGAAGGAGGAAACAGCTAAGAAATGGTTATGAGACATATTCAAATGCTTCAAGAAAAAATGCATAACCAAATTTCAATAGTTGGGACTGAAGCTTTCTTGAGTTGTATAGTGAAACTGTTGGTCTTTAAGATGGCATACAAAAGTTGGATGCATGAGGCAATGGTATTGTCTTCAAGATGATGGATCAAAGAAATAAATGCAAGAAAATCCTAATTGAACACTTTTGTGGAAAAAAAATTAAATGCACTTGCTATCAATCATTCTAAAGATGATATCCAGACTTAGGAGAAAAAGAAACAAGACAGTGGTTTTTAGATTGAAAAAAAAAAGCATAAGAAAACAATCCTGAAGAAGTGAGAGAAAGGGCAATAAAAAACTGTCTTGTGCGGCTCATGTAGCAGGGATTTACAATGTACTGGATGCATATTACATTGGAAAGGAATGACAATTAACTCATTTATGAAAGGAAATAAATTGAATTTTTTGAATGAGGTCATAGAGGAAAAAAGGAAAATGTGTTTGCAGGTGTTACTTGTTTGGAAAGATTTATTGCTAAATTCATGTACCTGTAGCTTTCACAGAACCCTTCATCACTATGTAGCTTACTTGACCTCGGGCTGAATGCATGAGAGCTATGGTCGAACAAAAAGGGGATTTGATTGGTTTGAATGATTATAATGATGTCCTATGCATGAAAGTTACAACAACATTGCAAAAGATCCCACACCTAAAGCAATGCTACACAGCTCCTTACCTTCAATGCCCAGGAAAAAGACTCTGTATTTTCATCCCGCAGAAGCACACAACCAAAGAAACAATTAGTTCCATGATTGTCCACCCCAATCCAAATCCCTAGAATCATGTCATAGGTATCCAAACGGTGTGTTGTGTCAAAAATTATGGAATCTCCAAAGGCCTCATATGATTGAATAGATGAAGCATATGACCAAGCAATTTGCTCCAAGCGTTTATTTGCATCAATGTGGAAGTTGTACTTGAAGTTGGGATCATTGTCCTTCTTGTATTTGCACATTTCAAGAAGGTCAATAGCATCATTATCTCGATTAACATTCCTAAAAGATTGTAACAGGTTTCTGACATCTATTTCTGTGAATGGTAAACAGCCAAGTTTAACACCCTTCTCTAGTTCCATTAACCTCAACATTTGTCGAACCGACATGCCAGCTTTTGCATACATGCAAATCCGACTTTTTTCATCTGCAGACATGGTGCAATAAGCAGGAAGTAACTGTACTTCATTTGATTTCAGAAGTTCATGGTTGTGGATGTTGCTAAAACCAGTTATACGCCATTCAGGAACATCAAAATCAGCTCTTTTAACTATTCGCATGTATGCTTGGCATCCACATCGAGATGATTTTCGATTTCTTTGCAGCTTTCCATCATCCGAAGCTTTTATCTGAGGATAGCCACCACGATGGCATGTGAAATCCCTTCTTGTGATTCCCCTACCTACACCATCTTTTCCTCGAGTGCGGTGGCGTCTGATTGAAAAGCCACATTGCTTTGCAAAACTGCAATAAAATTCATATGCGGCATCTTGGGAAACAAATCTCTGACCAATAAAAGGGACAAGGTTAACAGAAGTTTGCCGTGACAAAATTGTGTCCTCTGGCACTTCCTCCACAGTTCCAATATCATCTGGGCATGAATCCATGCCACTTTCAGAAGTTTCTTTCACTACATCTGTTAATCTGGACATTATTTCCATAGTAGACAAATGATATTGTAGATATAAGAGACCTGCACAGAATTTTTACAACGTTGAGAATTAAAACATTTTCTTTTCATACATTTAATAGAAATGAATTTTTATATATTTTTTTTTTTAGTGCTTGCAATATTTTTCTCATTTCCTCACTTTGGAAAGATGAAAATAACTTTTTTTAATACTTTTGACGCTGAAAAATGTTCCTCCTTGACAAGAGCTATTCTCATCTGTTGTTTTACATTCAGAAAATGTGCATTTTCTAACCATTAAACCCAACATATTTTTCGACTATTATATACAAAATAATACTAAATGCTCATGAACTTATAAACCAATATCAGGAGTTTTTCGTGGCAGGAATCTCCAACATTAGCTGAGGGCTACATCGAGAATACAAATGCATGTTCTCCTAGATTTGTCGAAGAATTTAATGAGCGACCAACAGCATATATGAAATGCAACTACTTCCATCTCATGCATTAAGTTAATGCAAATGCATCATTATATGTTGATTGGCAAGCTCAAACAAATAATTTTTTTTATGCTTCTGCTTAAGCAAATTTCATAGTGCAGCAAACCTAAAAACACATTCTCATTTTTATTGGCATCAACACAGAAATGTCATCTCTAAACAATTTTTCACCAAATTCTACAGTGCAGACCCACTCATTAAAAAAACCCTAAAATTCTACGAATCTTCTACACACTTCCACTTTAACCACAGGTTTCGACTCCCATGCATGATCCAATCCAAATTTGAACAAACTCATCAAAGTTAAACAATACAATCACAGTGATCACACGCAAAACTAATAAAATGCATGCAATTGAAATCTCCAGAAAACAAAAAAAGAAGATTTCATACCTATCAAATTGAATTGAATTAAAGGTTTGAGTTCTGGAGAGACGATGTGCCTGCTTTTGAACAGGCGGGTAGCTTCAACTGGAGAGAGTTATGCGCACTCCTGGTAGACGATAGGTTAAATTGAATCCACAAGCTATCGTGCGCAATGAGAGGCACCGGTTACGGAGTCACTTTGTTGATTTTCAGCCATTGGATTCCTTTAATGGTTTTAGGGAATTCGGTCTGATCAATCCGTTGTGACCGCAGATATTTTCAGTTCCTGAATGAACGGCCAAAGTGAGAAGTGGGCCGCGAAAACAAATCAGCGTATGTTAGCCATTCATGCTAACCTGCGCGGAAGTTATGGTTACCGTTAGCAAATAAAGGAAGTTAAGTCAGATAAGATGCGCCAGAAGGTGAGAGATAGAAATGGGCTGGGCCTTTTGAGAGATAACAGGGCCATGCATAAAAAGGTTTTAACATGTAAAATTATGATTGGTTGACGGTTTGTTACGTGGGAAGAGAGGATTTGATGTCATACTTGTTTCTTGAAAACTGATTTTTAAAAAATTATTTTTAAAATGTTTTCATTTTTATTTGTTATTAAAAATTTTGGTTAATAAAAAAAATTTAACTTGATTTTCAGAAAAGTATTTTTCTAAAAAATTTAGGCAGAATATATTTTAGAGAAATTTTTAAAAATTTAAAAATATTTTATTAGTTGCTGATTATATCAAATTTGATCCTTATATATATATAATTTCAATTTTATCTCTTAAAATTTAATTTCTATGTTAACTTTGATTTTTATTTTTATAATTGTTATTTTTTTTTTCTTATTATATTTTTTATTGAAATTTTTTATCTATCAAATTTGGTCTTTATTTTTTTTATTATTACTTATTTTATTTGAAATAATTTATAAAATATTAACTATTATTATTTTAATTTATTCATATTTTATTTTTTTTATTTTTTAGATTTGATCTTTATTATTTTGATTATTATTTACTTTATTTGAGATAATTTATGAATTATAAGTTTTTTCAATTTCATTCTCATTCAACTTTTTAATTTGTAAGATTTAGTCCTTATTATTTTAATAAACATGAGAAAAATAAAATATTAATAAGTTATTTTCCAACTCATTTTTTATGACATAACCAAACACTAAAAAATATTTTCCAACATATTTTCATTAAACTACCAAACATCAGAAAATAATTTATTTTCTTGAAATTTATTTTTTAAAAATTTACTTTTCAAAAAATATTATTTTCCTGAAAATAATCAGGGCCTAAATTGACCATGAATTACAATTATAAAAACAACTCGTAGACATCAATACATTATACTGCACCGAGACTTTATTATGAATTGTTGTACAATATAATAATATTTTGTATATGGTATTGTTTTATAGAATTAAGAAGCATTTATTTTTATTGCTTTTATTTTTTAAAATTAATCAAGCTTATTTAACTTATTCCAATTAATAATTAAGCTCCCAAAGTTTTCTTACTCTTTTTAAATCTATATCATCACCTTAATATTATTTTTTTATGTTATAAAAAATTTAACTGTCTCTATAGTTATTTTTATAATTCTTTTCCTTCGGATCCATCATTAAAAAAAATACAAAAAACAATATTTATTGTCACTGAAAATTTATGGAATACTCTTAGGGATCCATTTACTACAATTATCTTGGAAGGCAATATTTGACATTGCGGGGAAAGTGTTTTTAAAAAAATTTATTTTTTAATTTTTTTACTTTAAATTAATATGTTTTTAATGTTTTCAAATTATTTTGATGTGTTGATGTCAAAATTTTTTTTAAAAAAATAAAAAAATATTTTAATATATTTTAAAATGAAAAACATTTCAAAATCAACAACTACCATACTTTCAAACATGATATTGGTCTACTATTTCAAGATTACTGAATATTGGTCTTATACTTCAAAAATACTATGATGGAAAGTATATATATATATATATATAATGTTTATTTCAAATGTTAAAAAAATAAAACATGATTTTAAGTACCATGAGTTTAATTACGGAACCATACCAAATAGCATTGGATCTGGCTCTATAACCAAACCTAATAGCCTTAGATCTGACTCCTTATATTTATTATCACATCAAAATAAAAAAAATATTAACAAATATTAATCTGAAGTAAAAAATTTTATTTTTTATTTTTTTTAAAAGAAAAAATAAACATGCTTTAATAAAAAAATTCAACCCAACCTGAAATAATAAAAAAAATTATCATCACTTAATTTTTGTACAATACAAAAAAGTCACATTAATTTATTCTCTCTTTATAGTACGTAAAACAAAATCAATAAAAGAAAAGAAAAACAATTAACAAGGAAAAAACATAAAATTAAAAATATCTTACAAGAAAAAAATTAAAGGGAAAGATATTAGTTGTTCCTATATTAGGCGTTGTTTTACCATGCATTATTCATGGTGCTACTGTAAAAAATATTTTATTTGAAAATTATAAATGTACAAATACATTTTGTGTTTTTAACCCAACTCAAGCAATTTTATATTAAAAAAAAAAAGAATTGTTGTTGATTTGTTGAGAAGCGCAGGTCAATATGCTAACTATTATATTATTATGTAAATGTTATATTTTAAAATTGATTTTTTATATCATCACATCAAAATAAAATTAAAACAATAAAAAATATTAATTTTAAGTAAAAAATAAAAATTTGAAAATTTTTTAAAAGCATTTTTGAAATGCAAATACAAATATGCTTTAATAAAAAAAATTCAACTCAACTTGAAATGATAAAAAATTATCATCACCCAACTTTTGTATATGATAACAAATTTACCAATTTATTTCCTCTTTATAGCATGAAAAAAAATCAATAAGAGATAAAAATAAAATTTAAAGAGGAAAAATTTAAAATTGAAAATATCTTTAAAGGAAAAAAATTAAAGAGAAAGAAATTAGCTATCAGTGTATTGAATGCAACTTTTTTATGCATTATTCATGGTGCTACTATAGAAAATACTTTATTTGAAGATGGTGATGGTGCAAATACATTTCTTTCACGACTGGGTAGGGGTAGTAGGGCTCTTTCTCCCATTGTTTTTATTTATAAATTTAGAGAAGAAGAGAGAGCAAGAAGGTAAGGAATAAAAGGGAAAAAAGAAAAAAAATAGTAGAGAGAAAACATAAAAAAATAGGGGGAAAGAAAAGTAAATAAGAGCGGAAAACCACTACAGTTGCCACCATCACCATTACCACCCATCGTCACCTTCCTTTTTGTTGCCATGACAATTGCCTTGAGCCACTAATGATAGCAGCTCTGCCACCAGTAGAGGTAGAGGAGAAATTGAATCGAGATAGAAGAAAAGGAGAGAAGAGGAACCCATAGCCATTTCAGCTCAACCGCCTTCACCTACTACTAGAAAATTGATAAATATAAGTGGAAATATCGAGGGAATATTTTCATCAAAAATTTACTAACAGTTTTTACTTAGAGTAATATTTCATCGGTATATACCAAGAGAATTATAGTAGGAAACAAAATAATTAAAACAAAGTAATAAAAAGATAACATGACAATTTTACCAACAGAATTACCAACGGTAAAACTGTTGGTAAACTATGAATACTGTTTATGATGTCAATTATAAAGGGAATCACCGACGAAATTTTTTATTTGTATTTTCTAGAGAGCGATGGAACTTTTCACTTCCCAATTGTACTCTTAATTACTGTTCTTTAGAGATAAAATCACCAACGGATTAAAAAGTCGTCGGTGTTATTTGACAATTTTATGAAAAGTTTAGATTAAATTAAAATTTTAAATTAAATATTACAGACAAAATCACCAACAGATTGAAAAGTCTCGGTGATATTTGGTTGTTTCTAAATTTTTTTTATTAAATTAAAATTTTTAATTAAATATTACTAATGGAATCATCGATGAAATAATTAAAAATATTAATATTTAATTATTCATCAGTAAAACCGTTGATAAAAAGCCCCAATAAAAAGTCTAGAATTTCTAATTTCACAACAGACTCGGCTCCTTTCTTCTTCTTTTTTATCTTCGCTTCTAATTTCACAACAGACTCGGCTCCTTCTTCTTTTTTATCTTCTTTTTCCCTTTATGTATAAAAGATCAATATCCATTTTTTTCTCTTCTCTCCTAATCTCCATCTCTTCTCCTTCATGCTCAAGTATGCTTCTTCTCCTTTCTTCGTAGTTTTTTTTTAATCAGTATACTTTACGGGTTTTTTTCTCTTATTAGCTTTACTTGCAACTACATGAAGGTAAGATTTCTTTCTTTTCTTTTTTCATATTGTTTTTTGCTATAATTTTTTTTCTTTTTTCATATTGTTTTTTGCTATAATGTTTTTAATTTTATATTTTTGTTCTAAATAATTGTATGAATGTTTTTGTAGGATTTTGTTTTTCATATGAGATCAATTTTTAGTTGATTTATTTATAAGATTTTTTTAAAAAATTCATATGAATTTTTTTAGTTGAATTTATTTGTTGCACATTTATTTGAGTTGATTTTATTCTTCTTTTTTCCAAGCATTTTGAGTATTATAGAGTGTAATTTATATTAATTTAATTATGTTATATTTTTTAAAAAATGTTTTTGAATATTTTTAAATTATTACCAACAAAATTACATATTGTATTTTGTTGTTGAAAATACCGACAGAATGAAGCAAGTATTTTTTTTTTTGCTTATTTTTTTTGTTAGTAAATCCATTAGTAATAATATTTTTTTATTACTAATGGACTTACCAATTGACAAAAAATTATCGATGATATATTCACTAATAGAGCATTTTCATCGGTGATTTCGTTGGTAAATTAATTACTAATGAAATGATGGTGCAAATACTAACAAAAAATTCCTTCAACAAAATATAAAGATTGTTGTAGTGACTACCACTAGCAACTGCGTTTTACCACCTCCACCGTTGCTAGCATCATTAGGAGCAACTACAGGTAAGCTTTTGCCTCCCGTTCCACCTTGTTGTTCTACTTTGGAGTCTTCTTCAATATTGTTTATGTTGCATGTGAACAGTGGAAAGACCCACTATTTAATAGGCCTGTAGCACTAACCCAGCCCAAAATGGTTGGGTCAGGTACAACCTAATTAAAAAAAAATATTTTTGAAAATTATAATTTTTCCATATATTTTTCTAATAAATTTTTCTTTATATTGGTTCGTATTTTATACTGTAAAAATACAT